CTAGCCAATAGACTGCAACAACATATCAAGAAAATCATTCATTATGACCAAGTGGGGTTCATATCAGGTATGCAAGGATGGTTCAACATTAGAAAAAGAATCAATGTCATCCACCACATAAAAAAAAAAAAGGAGAAGAACCACAAGATCATATAACTTGATACAGAAAAAGCATTTGATAAAATCCAACAGTCATCCTGATCAAAACTCTCAGCAAAATAGGAATAGAAGGGACATTCCTCAACATAATAATGCTTTATTTTATTCCAAAGGCTAGACAAGAGCAATGAAGGGCACATACAATTCTTTACACTCTTTAGGCTTTAAGAATTGATTTAATCCCCACCAACCTTCTCTCCCCTGCAAGTCTTCCTTCCTGAATTTATCTTTTATTTCACTGAGAGTCACAGAATCAAGGAGCACTGCACACCGTCGATACTCACCTTCCCCAGATCCCTTCCTCCGCCGTTTCTGTTCTTCTCTGGAGGATCTTTTTTTCTCTTTGCGTCTTTGTCGGAGGGCTGTTTTAGGATCAGTTATCCAGGCTTGATAAACAAACTAAAGAGAGTAAATTGAATTATTTTCTGGCTTTTTAACAATTTTAAATGAAAAGAAAAGTGACCTATTCATGAGAACAGACAAGGCAATCTTCTTAACTTTTAGTAATATTCATTTAGCCTAGCAAAAACTAGGTATTTCTCTCCCACCTTCATATGTTGAGCTGACTTCTGCTAATTTCATTATCATGAACTAAAACATGATAACATGTTTTGGGGATAGATTTTACTTGGTAGGTAACCATAGACAACAATGAGAAACTGCAGATATAACCATTTCTCTCAAATACTGCATCATCGGTGATAATTATTGATTCATCTGCATTACACATAATAGAAACAAGCCAGAAGCCTCACTAAGTATTATTAGAGTAATTTTCTCCCACCATAAGTAAACTCTGATAAAAAACAAACAAACAAACACACAAAAACCACTGATGATAGTCTTATTTACTTTGGGTAAATCTTTTTTGCACAGTTGACACTCTCCTTTGTGAATAACAGCTGAGTATTACCAGCAGCTTGAGAAAGGGCTATAGATTAGTGTTTTAAGAGGAAAAACCATGCTATTTTAATGTTTTCTTCCAACAACATGAAGAAAATCAGCACTGGGGACTGAAAGTGTTAAGGAGTTATTCCAGAACAGTACAGAAGGAAAACTATGGTGCTTGTGGCTGCCTTTTGTCATCTTCAAAAGCTGAAAATCATTGCTGTTAATATATAGTAACCAATAACCACTGTAGAGCAATTTTGAACAACCCACCCAGCAACAGTCTCCCAAGTCATGCAGAAGGAACAAGAAGAAAACCTTGGTATAGAAAGTCAGCCATCTACATCATCAAGCCAAGCAGACATGCCCCTCATGCACCCACAGACACACCTGGGTCTCAGGGAAGCTGGGTTTTCCATTATGATGATAAAGTTATATGAGTGTTTTGTTGGGACTCTTGTAAACCCAGACAATTTTATTTTATTCTATATTATTTTCAGATTTCTGAAATCTTTGAAAAACACAGCATAAGGGAACCATTGGCACTGTGATGGCAGTAGAAAATAAAGAGGGATTCAGTTTTCCATATATAGAGATATAAAGATCATAGGTTACGAAGGAAGAGCATTTGTTTTTTCTCACTGCTAGAAATTTGAATCTTAGGGGCAATTAACACAAATGCAATATCGGTATTATTTCCAAATAACAAGCCTAGGAGGCAAAAATTATCCTATTTTATGCCAAAAACATATGTTTAAAAATGAGAAATAAACTGGAATTTGAAGAAAGATAGGATGAAGGAATTTATGGTAGATGTTTATTGAGCATATTAACTGGGAATTCTATCAAGAATATCTCTGAGGTTTAATACATTAACAGGCAAAATTGCTTCCTTGGCTCTTTTTAAAGAACCTGAACTATCATTAAACTTAAGAAATTTTGAGGCTTAGAGTAACTTATTGTGATATTTCCTTTAAAAAAGTGTTTCATAATATTGCTATTAGATAATATAAAAATCCCAGAAATATAATATACTAGGCACACAAGTTGGAGGAATTTTTTGATCTGCAGAAAAATGAAAACAACTGATAGGAAGAGAGAAAGAGAGAGGAGGGTGTTAAGGGCAGATGGAGAAGTTTCCAAGAAAAGTGCATGCCATTAATATGTTGAAGTACTGTAGAGAACTCCTGGTTCCCCATAAACCAGTGACCAGTTGCCACTGAGCTGATTCTGACTCTTGGTGACTCCATGCGTGTCAGAGTAGAACTGTGCCCCATAGGTCCTTTAATGGCTGATTTTTAAGTAGCAGATCCCTAGGCTTTCCTTTTAGGTGTCTCTGGGTAGACTTGAGATTCCAGCCTTTTGGTTAGCAGTTATTTGTACCCCCCAGGCACTCTGGCTTCTATAGTTTAGCTTTCTCACTGAGAACGAGAACTAGGTAAGAGGGGGGAGGGAACCATATGCCAACTCCTTATTAGTAGGTACATTCTGTTAATGATGATGTTTGAAATACAAACATTCTGTAGTTTCAGAAACTTCTGCTAGAGGGTCAGTTTTACTTCAGTCTGACTTACAGAAAAATAGTGATAAAGCATGAGGAGGAGGAAGAGGAGATTCTTACTGAGTAAAGAAAGGGAAGCTTCTTAGGGAAACTTCTCAATCTGTACTTTGTAGCTGTAAAAATTATCCAACCTGATGGGTCTCCAGGGGGAATCAGCAACAACCACCACTAACCATAAAATAGAAAGCTGCATGAAGCATATGTAAATAACTTTTGGATCCTCCATATATATATATATATATATATATATATATATATATTTTTGATTAACCATTGCCACTGTGCTAACATGTATTGTGAAGACTGACTTTATGTTTTATCATATATATTAGGGGAAAAATAGGATTCATTTTACTGAAAATTTACTATGAAAAATACATTTATTCTTTAAAATAAGGGAGGGCTTTATTGAAGTGGATATTCTTCACTGAAATAGGTAAGTTTCATCATCTGATCTGGACATTTTTTTATGTTGTATATAAGGGAATAATTTGTTTTCAAGATAAGGAATAGTAACATTGTAATATTTCTTTTAAATACATTCTTAAATATGAATTGAGACTGACATGGTCATTAAAAAAGAAAAGAAAAAGAAAAAGAGTCATAGGAAAGTAGCAGCAGTGAGTGTTAACAGTGAGTGTTAAACTCCTAGCATTTTAAAAATAGAACAGACCCAAAGTCTTGATTCTGCTACTCAACTGTGGGCCAGCTGTCTTGCTTCACCTGGGAGGCTGAGAGAAATGCAGAATTTAAGTCCCCAGCTTGACCTACTGAATCAGTACCTGGATTTAAATAAAATCACTAGGTAAAATGTGAGAAGCACTAGTCTATATCACTATCTTAAACATTTGTTTAACATTTGAGGAACATGAGGACAAAAGTTGTTAAGTTCCAGATTGAGTTCAGGAGAAATAGCTTTCTAAAAAATACAAGAAAGGTGGGTTCAAACTGCCCACCAGAACCCACCCACAAGAATGGTGGGTTCAAACCTTTCAGTTAGCAGTCAAGTGCTTTAATCACTGTGCTCCTTTACAGGATAAAAATCAAAAAACCAAACCCACTGCCTTCGAGTCAATTCCGACTCACAGCAACCTCTGTTGGGTTTCTGAGGCGGTAAATCTTTATGGAAGTAGATTGCCCAGTCTTGCTTCCTTTACAAGAATAGTAAGCAATTATTTATAATTATCAATAATGGATTGTTCAAGTAACTCAGTAATTTGTTGTGCCTTATATTAATCACCAAACAATATTTAACAGTTTATTCAAAAGGACATCATCACTGGTTACACAGGAGTTAGGAACTCAACAGACTGTAGAAGGCAAAAGAACCACATAGATAGGGGCTTTACTGAATTCCAAATAGTAAATGGAAGGTCTAATTTAGGAAGATAGAGATTAAATGGAAGCCAAAAATGAGATGGAGCAAAATGAGCCTTTTATTCACTTATCCAGAATTTTACCAGCTTTCTGAGAAAAATTATTTTACTTTTTACTCATCATAACTGATGCATGCAACCAGAAGTGACCCTTTTAAAACAACATGTGATGTAGGCAAGACTACAAGAGGACAGAAAGTACATGTGTATCTGCATTTTCTCTTCCTATTTTTGATAGTCTGTGGGGTCAACTTTGAAACAAGAGTCAGATAACAAAAATATTTGGCTTTTAAGAACTCCATTAAAAAGATCTACCTAATTATTAAAATTCTTATAATTCCTTCATTGTACATTTTATAGAGCAGGGAAAATGCAGATGGAGGGCAATGGGGATATGTTTGCCTAAAGTTCTACGGAGCGGAGAGTCACACACTACACATCAGTAAAACATCAAATACCTTTGCAGCTCTGATTAAATACTGAAGAATAGTTTTGGGAAGTTTAATGACAGACTTTGGCAAGGCTAAAATGGCTGATGCAAACTTCCCAATAGCTCTCTACAAAGAAGGACAAAGCAAGAATAATTAGTAGAAAAAAACAAAATATAATGATTTAATATATGACGTCGGTATGAGATTTTCTCTACAATTAAATCAACTAGGTAAATGTGCCAATTATTGAAGCAAGGGAAAAATGTGCTTTGCTTGTAAGTTAGGAATAAGGAAAATATCTAATCATCACATGAAATCCATGAAAAGAAATGCTGAAGATGTTCATGTTCTTGCCTTTGCTACATGATGAATAATGGTTAGAAATATACTGCATTAGAATAAAAATAAAAAATTAAAAAAAAAAAACACAAGTGAGTCATTAGTATTGGACAAAGTGGCCGCAAACATGCACACAAACATACTCATCAAGAATCACACATAAGTAGCAATGGGGTCAGTAAGAAAGCAACAGAGCAAGGTATTTCCATGATAATTCCGTTCTTCCATTTCAGTGGGATGATGGCGTGGCTGTAATGAGTCATCTTTAGAAGACCTGGATACCATCCTGGCAATGTCCTTACCATGAGCATAAGCAACTCCCAGCTCCTATATCATGTGACTTTGATGGATGTCATTCTGTGTGCCTAGTAGTTTAACAAAAGAGGTTATGGAAATCATTGTCCTAGAGTGCCTTGTTGGTAAAAGACATTGTCATCCCATGTGTAACTCTAAAGACAAAGCCTCATCTTTAATATGCATTGACTGTATACATTCACCAGGCACATTATATGAGGTTGGTGAGCTATATACAACTGAGAAATATACAGCAAATTCTGAAAAAGAAAGGCAGTTAAATTGAAACAATCAGAGCCTTGCTAGATATTTTTATACTTAAATAAATTCTAAAGCATTTAGAGATAAAAATGAAACTGTTTTCCATATTATGATGCTACATTTAAATAATGTGTTTTGTCACAAAAATGAAAGTATTTTAATAGAAATAAAAATTATTTTATCACAGACTGAAACATAAGTCCATTCAAGCAATCCAAAGCAGTGCCACAGAAAAGAAGTCTTTTTCACCCCTTCCTTGCAACAAGAAAATAAAGTTCACCCAAGGAAGCTTTGTTTTCTGTTTATAGCATCAGAACATTTGTTGATGCACATGAATGAAGACTGGGCTAACCTCATGGCTTTTGCAGGGCAGTATCGCAACAATGCTAAGAGCAAGCAGCACCACAGTTGCGTTAGAGATCGGCAATGTCAGATGGAAAGTACAAGCTTCTGGGAGAATAATGAATAACGCAGAAGAGAGCCAGTCTTGCAATCAAGGTCTGTCAATAAGAAAACTCTGTTGGCTTGCAAAGGACATTATTTTCTTCAGCCCATAATTACCTGGAATGCTGACCTTCTTGGAGGTTCTTCTTCTTCCTTTTTTAATTCTTCCTCTTCCTCTTCTTCACTATCCGTTTCAAACAAATAATAATCTCCACTTCTGACCACTAAACAAAACAAAATATTTACTTATTTCTTGAAAGAGATATGAAATAATTGGGGGCTTAGTAATGAAATGACACCTAAAGATACACAAATTGTCCATAAAAGGACCACACCAGAGATGTTGGTAGTGAGGAAGAAACAAGAGATGAACAGAACTCATTTCAGGCTAATGCTACGTGGTATTGGCATGATTTGATCTACTGAGTATGAGGCCTTGTTTATGTCCCATAAGTGAATTAGCCACTATAGCCACTATCTTCTTCCATCTTCTTTAAATTTTACACAGATGAATCAGATCAACAGCAGTAACCAGTTTGGTTACCAAGATGGCCAAAATGACTACAACAATGGCTTCACAGTTCAGCAATTTTGGTCCTTTAGACAAGGCCAAAGTGAAATGGAGGGTTTGTCATTGTTCCCATAGGCCCAAGTAGTTATAGGGCAATCAGGAGTGGGGACAAAGAATCAGTGCCATCAACCTCTTACTTCACTTTATACTGTGTAGACCTAGCTTTTCCACATGTAACTTGGGGGAGTAACATAGATGGCAATACATTTGATGGAGTTGTATAGAATAACATTGCCATGAGCAGGAAATGGGCAGCTTACATGAAAAAATACAAAAAAGTACAATAAAAATACCACCACCACTGGTGATTTCTACACATCATCTTAGGAACAAAGGCACAGTGGACCTGTCCACAAGGTTTAGCACTGTTTGTCTTCTGACCAACAACCAGCAGTCCATTAAAAAACAAAAACAAAAACAAAAAACCAGTTGCTATGGAGTCGATTCTGACTCATAGTGACCCTATTAAGACAGAGTAGAACTGCCCTGTAAGGTTTCCAAAGTTGTAATCTTTACAGAACCACACTTCTACATCTTTCTCTCATGGTGAAGCTGATAGATTTGAACTACTGACTCTTCAGTTAACAGCTGAGTGCTTAACCACTCACCATCAGGGCTCCTCACAGCTTATTTAAATTGGAAGAGAACTACTTTGGCCATAGGACACACAGCATAAATAGTAGGACTGTCCTTGCCACAATTTACATTTCCCTGAGAGAACATACTGCTTAAAGTACGAGTTTGGAGCAGAGAAAGCTGAACTGTCTCAAGATTTCAAGAGATTTGAGAAATTAAATCTTTATCAGTTTGATAATTATTTTATCAGAGAAAAGACACCAAGTATTATACATTTCTGATGCTACAATAACTGCACCATCATTGCAGGAAAACATTAATATCTCCAAATTATATCCAGGTTTTCAAATGCTGAGATATTTTTGGATGACATAACATGATGTCTTAAGTTATCTTTTAGACTTATACATTGTAAGGTAATGGAAAACCTTGGCTTTTTTACAATTAGCTGCTTGAGTGTTACTAAACATGGTCAAAAGCAAAGTGCTTTTGCCCATAATTTCAGACGAATCTGAAGCCTCCATTCATGAAGATGCAGAGTGAATGAATTGAGCCTTATATCCTTGAACAGAAGCACTGTAATTTATGATTTTTATTTTGAAGAAAGAACCAGGCTCACAGTGACGGGCCCAGGCCTGAGGAAATAAGTGCAATACAACATAAGGTAAGAATAAGCAGAACAAACCAAAGTCACAGCATTACATTTGACAGTGAGGAAGACCATGAAAGTAATGCCTCCTGTAAGCTGAGAAATTCGCAAGAAAGTTACACAGATTCTATGTCACATGGTCATTGGGGAGAAACACAGAGCATGTTAAGACTGAACATTTTACCCTCATTATAGGTTCTAAAATCAACAATAGCTTAAATTGTATTCAATCATACCTTCTATAACTTGTACCCAGATGGACACAGGGAACCCAAGCAGTTCTGATCTCAAGCAGTCATAATGTTGATTTTATCATTAAAATAATCACCAATTTGTATGTGAATAAGTGGAATTAACACACATACCAAAGGAAATGTTTTTTAACAACAGGTTCCTGAAATAAAACTAGGAAAGTACTAAACAATACTTTCTTTAGTGTTATTTGTAATAATTATAAAAGCTATTGTGCTTATGTTTGTGACTACAGAGATATCCTTTCTCTATCTTGTGTCCATATATGTGTTATGGGTGTTGGTGATATTGCTGAACTACTGAGCACGAAATTAACTCTTGACATCCTACCACATGTAGCTCCAGAAATGTGGCCCTTTACTTCATATATTTAACAAAAAAAGTGAGGCTTGGCATTGGTTTGTGTTGTTGTTGTTATGTGCCATTGAGTCAAACCCGACTCATAGCGACCCCTCCTTGGGTTTCTGAGGCAGTATCACTACGGAAGTAGGATTGCCCAACCTTCCTTCCGAGGAGTGGCTGGTGGGTTTGAACCGCCAGCCATCTGGTTAGCAGGCAAGTGTCTTAGCCACTATGCTACCAGAGCTCCCTGGCATTGGTTTAGGGAGTATTAAATTGCTATGGAGACATACAACTCAGGAATGGAAGGTATAATTGAACACCAATAATGCAATCATATGTGTATACATAGGCATGGAACAGAAGGTGTGTCACCCACAGATTGTACTAAGATCTTTTTCTTCACCAACAGTATAAATAATGTAACAATATGTTGTTATTGTCAACAGATTTACACACAGATATATCAATTGCACTTATTTTCATACTTTGTGTCTCTAAGAAATATCTATTTGAAAGCCTAAAACTCAATAGATCAGAATAAGGATTTTTAATACAGTCCTTCCAGATCTAAAGATAAGTTTTAGTACTTATCATAGTCTGAAAAATAGGTCATATATTCTTCCCTTATAAGCTTATAAAAGAAAGAACACTTTGCAGGAAGATTTTAATACCACCTTCAGAATCTGATTCCAAACTATGAACTACACACATACCTGCATTATTGCACCATAAGGTATTGTAACAAGGCATATCTAGTTTAATATCAGTTTTCAATAACTTGATATAATGAGGGTGAAATGAATCAGAAAATTTAAAGTCGATAACCTTCACTGGCAGTTTTTTACACTATTACCAACTTGTAAGATGATTATCAAAGACCATATCCAATTCCTTACAAAATGCATTATTTAGGTAAGAAAAGAAAAGACAACCACAATTGCAATGGGATTTTTACTCCAAGTGAAATGACAAAACATTCAATATGACAAAATTTTGAAATGGATAGGTCTCTCTAAATTGGCACAGGTCCATTTAAAACAGAAGGAGAGGCACAGTTTACTTGTGACTTGATAGAAATCAGCATATGGTGCACTATGTTATTAGATTGTTGCTTGACTAACAAGCCAATGAACAATAAGTAAAATAGTCACACAGAATTTCAACTCGAATGCTTGTGTTTTGACTTGCTTGGGAAGAAAATTAAATGAAACTCATTTCATTTTCAATTCATGGATTCTTTCTGACATAATGTTGAAATTCAATATTTAGAATGAAATTTAATTACATCCAAGGAAACTGAGTAGATTTCAAATACTGCTTCAGTAAATTAGCTTGCTGATTTTAGAAAATTATTTCTTGGGTGAGAGAGGCCAATATCAGATTTATGTGGAAAGAATTAGGTTTTGGGAAAAATTTGGATATATTTGACTTTAAAATGGTTCTCAATATTCTATTAGCAGAGCCTACTGCATCAATGTATGACTTTATGGGGCCTTGGGTGATAGTCTTATCTAATCAGATTAGCTACAATTATGGAGACATAGAACATAAAAGATTGAAAACATCACAAGTCATTCACAAAGTAATGAATTATTATTGAATATTCTAACAAATTTAAGGAGGACTAGATTGAAATGGGCCATTCTTTTATAATGCCATTGTTCAATAATGTGTGCTATTTCCTTGGTTAAGAAGAACAAATATAGCCATTAACATCCATAAGTCCTCATTCAATTTTATGATCAGAAGGGAAGCACACTATATTCCATGTGTCTATTAAGCTCTGCTGTTCAAAGGGAATTTTCCAGTTTTTGCTTTTAATTGGTGATTACTGGGCAGCAGATGGCTCTGCAGCTGCAACACATGCCAGGCATTGGAATTCTGAGTTAAGCTTTAGAGCCTTTTGGAAATTGGGGAGGAGGCAAAGTGAGAAAGTAAATGCATTTAAGTCATCCCCATCTTTGTATGCCAAAAAACCTTGAATGCAAATAAAATCAAAGCTCTGGGAAAGAGGGAAAGGGGGGCTCATTGGCATCGACATCTAGTGCCTTACAAAGAGGGTCATGAACGCTTTTGAACATAATTATCCTTAAAGCAGAGTCCAAGTAGGAGCAGAAACACATTTTTAATAAAGGTGTTTAGCCATAAACAAGTGAATGTCAGCAGAGCTCTAGACCTCAGAATTAGATGATAATCAATTCTCTTTCCCTTGATGAGCCCATAAATTGTGCTCAACAGTTCTTAAGCCACGTGCTTAGCTTTCTTTAGGTAGAATCTGTCCACAGAGCTCAGAGAACCATTTGCATCATAATTTCCCACACTCAGACCCCCTATCAAGTCACAAGGATGAAACCATGCACGGAACACACAGTCATGGGGATGCCTGAATTCTGGTCAAGGATATAAGGGTTAAAATTGATGAAATTGTAAGAGGATAGCGAAAACCTACTGGAAGCATGATCAACCCAAGGCCGCCACCACTGCTTTTTTTTGCCCTTGGCTTTCTGTTTGTCTGCTTCTCCTAAAATAAAATATGTCCAAATATTAATTCTTATAAAGTGATAAAACAAATTTTGAAAACCACGCTTTAACAACTCAATTGTCTAATCTAGATCAATTGTAAAAGTACATCAGAGGTCAGGAAAAGGAACTATACAGCATCTGTAAAGTATGCATGTATTATCGATTGATTTCATAAGTAACTACTAATCATTATTAAATAGTATGCCATATTTTCACTTTCACTTAGCAACTGAGTGCATACAAAGAAGTACAAAAAATAAAGGATTTCCTGTCAGAAATGCGTCTCACACTGAATTTTCTACTGCATTAATTGAAAAGGACCTCCCCCATCCCCTGCCTAATTTTAACAGAACAATTTAGTGGCAACAAATTTGTTCAAATAAATATATCCCAATAACCAGAAAATTTGCTGATGACCACTTTAATGCATAGTTGGGAAATATAAATTAACTGGTGATTGGTAGGTACTATGTATATACTGAAAAGATACAATACATTATTTCTCCATTCCCTTTCAACAGAAAAAGCATGCAAATATCTATAAAAGCCCTCTTAAACTCTAATTGGACATAATAAAATATATAATTAGATAAAATAAATATATATTCATGTTAGGTTTCATTAGAATAGGCAATAATTGAATGATACTTTAATTACTGATATTTAGATGCCACACAAAATATGCACACATATTTCATTTTTGTATAAAATTTATAAAAGCCAATAGTAGAGTGTACATCTGAAATATCTTCCTTAAAGGAATAAAATAAGAAAAAACATACTAGTTTTTTTTTAGAAACAGTTGTCTGTGAAACAGCAACTATGTGGCTGAAGAGTAGATACTCTTGAAGCTATTGACTCATTAAATATGTACTTTATGAAACAAAATAATTTATCCTATTGGAAAAGGAAGGTAAAGATTTCTGAGTTATAAGAAGAACATTGCTAACATTGGCAGAAGGAAGAGAAACCTGATCTTACAGCTCTCCTCAGTACTATGTTATATTCACTATTAGAGGACTTGCGGTAGGGACAAAGGTTGGACATACTTTCATCATCTTCTTCTGAGAGCTTTTGGATGTCCTGGCCTTCCCCCGACTCCTGGGTCAAGCTCAGCATTCTCTCTTTACCTTTTTTGTATTTCTGTTGCCTGGCCTTGATGCGATCCATCCTACAAAAGCAAATAGCATCAGCAATGCCAGGAACACCAATCGCAATTATAATAAGGTCAATACTTCAGACTTAACAATGTTATAGACAAAGTGGTCAATTACTTGGCAATTGTGAAACAGCATACTTATTAGCAACAAGAATCTCCTTGCTTTTTTATTTTTAATATATCCATCTGAATAGGCAGTTCACAGAGCTCTGGTAGCATAGTGGCTAAGACACTTGCCTGCTAACCAGACGGCTGGCGGTTCAAATCCACCAGCCACTCCTCGGAAGGAAGGTTGGGCAATCCTACTTCCGTAGTGATACTGCCTCGGAAACCCGAGGGGTCGCTATGAGTCGGGTTTGACTCGACGGCACATAACAACAACAACAACAGTTATAATAATAGGAGCTCTGGTAGCATAGTGGCTAAAGCACTTGACAGCTAACCAGAAGGCTGGTGGTTCAAACCCACCAGCCACTCCTCGGAAGGAAGGTTGGGCAATCCTACTTCCGTAGTGATACTGCCTCGGAAACCCAAGGAGGGGTTGCTATGAGTCGGGGCCGACTCGACGGCACATAACAACAACAACAACAACTTTAAACATGGACCCAAATCTCTTATTCCTCTACACCTGATTTAGACAGGTAGAAATAGTAATAGTCACACCATATTGCATTGACATTATATTTCTTTATAGGATGTATTACTTTGATAAAGAAGATAGTTGTGCCACTGAACAATTTATCCTAGTGAATATTTCTGTATGGGGAAAAGCTGGCAAATGGGGCCAGAAAGGAATGAAGGTGCCTCAGAAAACTCAGGGAGTTTTCCTGGTAGTCTCAAAGGATGTCTCCATGTGTTCAGAGAAAATGTCTACATTCAGAATTTTATGATCCCCAAACGTATGAAGTGCTACCAGTTCTCAAAGTTCCAGTCACCACTGGAAATTGTATTTTAAGAAAAGTCTTTTCAATGGGCTAATCAAAAGAAAAAAAAAAAAGGGAGGAATTCTTAAATCTTTTGGGGTGGGGGGAGAGTAAACCTTGACCTGAAAATTGGGAAATATGGGTTTTATTCATAATGTTGCCTTGCATTAGTTGTCTATTATAAGTCATCTAATGCCATGGGTCCTCAGTTTCTTCCCTAAGAGACTACATTTTATTTCCTTCCAAAGCTAGGACTCCACATTTCCCCCCCTTAACTCACAGATGTAATGACATTTACTCCAAGTGTTTGGCATTGGACAAGCCCCTGTCTTGTTCCTTAACTCATTTAATCTTTATAAAACCCCAGCAATGTAGCATTGTGAGTCCTAACTGAAAAATAGGAAACAGACATTCAGGAAATATAATTGACTTGCTCAAGGTCCCAAAGTCATCAATGAATGCTGGTCTTATTCTGAACCTGCTTCCTCTTCCATCACACTGCAGCTATCTTTCTTTCAAACCAAGTTCATTTTCAGTTTCACAGGCATAAGCAATTACCCTGACACAAGAGCAAATACATGGGGAGTGGTGACAGTTGACACAAATAGATTTCTCAGGGGGTTGAGGTCCCCCAAGAGCTGACACTAGCTGAATGTGGTCATTTCAATCAGAAAATAAAAGGATAGGAAAATCAAAGTGAAATATATTCTTACTGTCTCTTGAGCTGGTCCATTGACTTTTTCTCTTCCTCAATTCTTGCTTTTACAGCCTTTACTATTGTGGCCTGGAAAAGTTCAGCTCCTCTAAAGGAAAATTAGAAACAGAACAAATTAGTATTTTTGTTGTGTTGTTCACTTTCTCCTGAAAATGATTGCCAGGGTTGGAAAACATAACATCTCTCTTTTGGAAGTTCACTGAGGTTTCCTGGCTGGGAATGGGAGTCACCAAGGCCCAATACAGAAGTCCTTTTCTAGAGGATGAAAAAGTCACTTGGGAGTTAGTGCACTTCTCACAACCCTGTGAGATTAGTAAAAAGAAAACAGTTTGTTTTCTAAGAAATTAAAAGCCATGTACCTCCTAAAATCTGTCCTCCAAAATGTTATGATTTAGCAAAGTGTCACTCATCTGATCTTACTTTGCTTGTACTGAGAGAGGACTTTACAAGGAAGAACAAAATTAGTTTGATTTTCTACTCATTGAGGGTATGGAGTGAACCTGAGGCTTTTTGAAAGAAATGTGGAGAGTTCTTGCTCATCAGTGGGGCTTCCAATCCCTGCCTCCTTGACCTTTTTCCTCCTATCTTCTACTCCCTCTTTTGTTCCTCACTTTCTAAGCCAACTTGACCACCTATAAATCTTCTCAGCCCTTCTAGTATTCTCAACTCTGCCCTATTAACATCTGCTTGGCGAGTCCCAAGTCTGTGGGGACCTGACCTGTTAGAGTAAGGCTGCTGTCAACTGCTAAGAAAAATGCAGTCAGGCAGCTTGCTGTTAGAGGAGCCCTCCCTCTACACCACTGCTTCTTTATAGCAGCTGCTTCAAACGCCTTCCAAGAGTACCTCAAAACCTGTCTGGTTGCTCATCTGCTCATTGAACTTCCCAACTTGTTGAGTGTTATGTGCCCAATAGACCTATAAGGAGCCAGAAGCCCTGGTGGCACAGTGGTAATTGCTTGGCTGCTAACTAAAAGGTTGGCAGTTTGAACTCATCAGCCAGTTCCACAGGAGAAAGATGTAGCAGTCTGCTTACATGAAGATTTATAGTCCTGAAAATCTGTGGGGGCAGTTCTACTTTTTATATAGGGTTGCTATGAGTCAAAATTGACTTGATGGCAATTTTCTTTCTTTCTTTTTTTTGATGGGATGAGACCTGCAACTCCACAGTTGTAGTCTGTCTTGTCTCACCCTTCAGCTCCTTCGATTCTCTACACCTGGGGCTGGCACCACCATTTGCTCAAGCCAGAACACTGGGCATGCTATTTTCTACCCTTCCCTTCCCATCACCATCTTTCCTTTTTCCAATCAACTGTCCTTCTGTGCCAATTCTACATCTTAAATACTTTTCTCATTTATCTGTTCTTGGTCCTAGCCATTATCTCTATCCTGGGTCATCAAAGCAATCACCTCACTGGCCCCTCTGTCAGTGGTCCTGCTTATACCTAATCTTTTGTCCACTGAACAAGTAGAGTGATCTTTCTACAATGCACATGACTCCCTTGTTTAAAAACATCAATTCTCCATTTAACTTATAATCTGGTCTATGAGATCACTTCTAATGTCATAGCATGATATATTAGATCCCTGAATGTCTGGCCTCTGATGACCTTACCAGCTTACCTATTACTACTCACTATCCTCATTTTCAAACCTCTTCATTTTAGCTATCCTGAGCTTCTTACAATCCCTCAGAGAGAACTTATTTTGGTAACTTCACTCATGCTGTTTCCCCTATCTTCTTCCTTTGACTACCTCCTATTTATCCTTCAAATTCCAGCTTAGGATGGAGCCTACCTTGGTCCTCACCCACTGCAGTTGATTATATGCCCTTGTTATGTTCCTTTGGATCCCTGACTGTCTTCTTCTGTCATACTGTTGTTGTTATGTGCCATCGAGTCATACCCGACTCATGGTGACCCCTCCTTGGGTTTCCGAGGCAGTATCACTACGGAAGTAGAGTGCCCCGTCTTCCTTCTGAGGAGTGGCTGGTGGGTTTGAACTGCCAGCCTTCTGGTTAGCAGTCAAGTGCCTTAGGCACTATGCTACCAGAATCACACTTATTATTGCTTATCTATCAGTTTACCTTCCCACTGGTCTGCAAGCTCTGTGAGGGCAGGGGCAGTGAAGGCATGAATGAATGAATGAATGTGCATTCTTTAAAAGATCCATATAAATTCAGTGCTTATGAGGACATGGCTATACTTGCACAAACATTAACTGTTCTCTGAACCAAAGCCATCATTCTTCCTATTACATGAAGTACGTGCTTTCTAAACAATTTTGACAATTTTAGGGAAAAGATACTGGCTTATTATTATGTACTGGAATTCTAAAAATAAAATGTTTTAAGGAATGCAAAAATGATGCATTTACAAAACATTAGCTACTATGTAAAAGTGAATACATTTCCTATTGGTATATTACACTCTGTTCTGAAAATAAAGTCCTGAGTATTAGAAAAACAATGTCAGTAGTAAATCAAAGGCCAATATACTGCATGGAATAAAGCCATCATCTATATAGTGAGGGCTGAGGATGCCACAAGCCTCCACAGATCAAATGTAGGTCCCTTTTTTATTTGGTACCAAGTAAGTAACAAATCCCGGGAACATTCCTCATATAAGAAGTTTTAAAATAAATGTTTTCGTTTAACCTGGCAAGGGAAGAGACTAGGTACTAGAGAACTGGCAACATAAACACAGATATATTAGGTTAAACCATAAGTCAAAATGCTAAAATGCTGGCAATTTCACATGACAGAACCTTAAGTGTCTCAGCTGATTTAGGATCTTGAATCAGCTTGGATTTAGGCTAGGTCAGCCTCTCTGTGGCACACAGTACACAGAGATCACACACTTGGGCAATGGTGTTTTCCTTAATATCAATTCCTCTTTCCAGTCTTTATTCCTTAGTCCACAAGATCAGGCAAAAAACTGGGAAAAAGTTGGATTTAAGGGAAAAAAGATAGTAATGCAAATAGTTCCATGGCCCAGAGAAGAAGAAAACCAGAAGGTTAGGGGAAAAAAGATTAAAAGGAAGGAAAGATAAATAAGAAGGGTTTAAAATAAGGTTGGAACCACACATCACTTCTCCATTCAGCTTAATATCTGCAAAATAATAGATATTTATGCTTTTCTCTATTTTTAGGAGTTTCTTCTTAAAATGGTGGCATGGATGAGGAAAATGGACTGAATTCTAGACTGACATGGCCTATAGTACTGCTTTGACTGAGGCCAGAATGAACTCTTCCAGTGTACTGGGCTGTACACAGAGGGCTCTAGCCCAGTGTGTCTTTGTATTTGAAAAGCACACCTTTCATAGTATCCCAATTCCTTGTAAAGTGTAATGCAACTCCACAGGTTTTCTTGTTACTATTCTACATTAGGTCTTAAAGGTCTCATGCTAAAGTCTTCTTGAATCAATTTTTGTGGAACGGATTCTCAGTAAAGACAGAATTAGGGTCACATAAGCAAACTCAAAGAAAAAGTATACCAAAATTTGCTTTCAGACAGGTTTACCGAGAGAAACCACTTCATTCCATGGCCTGACTTACCGTGATGCCAGGATCTGTGAGGCTTTTATATCGGCCACAACATGTAGGAAATAGTAACTCATGAACACCCTTCTTTGCAGCAGAAGGAAGGCAAAACATATGCTGTCCCAAATAATTCCTGCCTCCCCACTGGGTAGTTTACATGATGTGTCTTCATCAGCTAGGGCAATAAAATAGAAAAAAACAAACTAAAATCAATGTCCATTTCCATTGTTATTTTATGAAACCTGCACAGAAGGCTGGTGGTTCAAACCCACCAGCCACTCCTTGGAAGGAAAGTTGGGCCATCTACTTCCATAGTGATACTGCCTCGGAAACCCAAGGAGGGGTTGCTACGAGTCGGATCAGACTTGATGGCAGTAAGTTTGGTTTTTTGGTTTCGGTGCTACAGTCAGTCTTGAGAAATCATATAAGCATAGGAGCACAATTTTGATGCATTCACTTACTTATGAGTTGAATTATTTACAAATAAGACCACATACTTCAAATCCAATATCAACATTAATTCATGAGGTTGATCATGGAGTGAGTTCTTGCAAGTGGAAGGCACAGGGGGGCCTCTTTGCCAAGAACGACTCCTAAATATTTCCTCCCTTAGGGAGAGAGAATCTTTCTTCTCCTCCAAAAAGAGCCTTGGAAAAATTATGTGTTATATATCAGTACCAGAGGATACAGTACTATGATTCAAAAGAAAGCATCCCTTTGAGGAAAGGGTCCTACCTGGCAGTAACTAGAATAACAGTTAACACAGTGTCATCTATTAGAAGAATGGGTATCAACAGCACATCTTATCCTAAGTAAAACAAAACAAAACAAAACAAAACTCCCAGAGACTCTTCATCCTTAGCAGTTAGCCTGGATTGGAAAAGCACTGGGGAGGAGCAGTGTTCCAGCAGCCCCCATGGTGGGCACATGTGAAGATGTGTGATGTCCTGGGTTCTGGTATGACAGGGGAGAGTGATGGAAATGTAACTTCTGCCTCTGACCAGGTGGAAGTCTAAAGCAAGTAACCTTCACACTCTCACAACTATTTTTGTGAATTTGAAAATCCCAGAGAAGGGCCTGGAAGTCAGAATTGCCTTAATGATCCAAGATTCCAACTTCAGCATCCAGAGATTTGAGTGGGCTCTTGTAACACTCCTATTTCTAATTAAAAAAGTTAAGGGAATTACTAGAGCATCACACCTGCCAGTCTGGGGAAGTTTCTAGAAGATAATCAAAGATACTTAGAGTACACAGTTTTACAGCCTCCATCTATAGATAGGATTGACCTTTACTTTTATTTCTCTCTCTCTTTTCCAATGTGCTTTTGTCTGATTTCTGCAGTAGAAAAATATAACTGTCTTTCCTTTCCTTTCCTTTCATGTTCAAATATATTTCTCATACTTACGCATTTTGTAGCCTTTGACTGTGCAGGCCAAGCTGAATGCCTGGATCAACCAGCAACTATTGTGAACCAAACTTTCAATGTATCCACATGCTCCAATCTGAAAAACAGAGGAGAAATACCAGTGTTGATATTCTGTACCCAGAGAAAAAGGTTGGTATGTTGTATTCCCAACATACACAAAAGTTCACCAAGTCTCAGTACCAATTGTTCCCCAAATTCAATCATCCTGAGGTTGCTTATTAGATGCCTCAGGAGCACCATAATTTCCTAGAGGAAATTAAACCAAATGAATAAAAGAAGGTCCTTTAGTGTAACACTTTCTGCACTTGGAAATAACTGTTTTTTTCAAAGTATAACTCTTGGACTATCATAGGAACAAGCTGAACTTTGGCATAGTGAATGGGTGAGCAGAGCACTGAACCCCAGGACTTAGATTTTGGTAACTTTCTTATAAGCCAAAATCAAACCTGTGCTGTTCCCCATGATATAATAAAAAAAAAGCATAAGCTGCAGGATAATTCTTAGAATAGGAACAAAGCATGTGCTGTGAGCCTTTTTTGGCCAATATCTGGGTAAAGGAATCATCTTCCTTCTTAGAGTTAAGTATAAATCCTGAGGGAGGGGGTTTAAATCAAACATTAATCATTACAATCCAGTGCATAAAGGTTATGGCTAAATTACATATAGTTCCTGGGAATATGTGAGGTAGAAGAATAATTAGCATTTGTTCCCAAACTAGTAGTAACCCAGCATGGGTTCCCCAGCCCATAGGAATATATTTCTGTGGTAGTTCAGTTTGTGTGTCAACTGAACCTGGACCTGGTTGAGTGGCTGGGTAGCTGGATGTAGTATTCCCCATGATGAGACTGATAATCAACTCCACGGTGGAATCTACTGTGAGTAGCTCAGTAGCTGCCTTAGGGAATGTGGCTTGCTTCCTGTATATAAGGAGAAGCCTTGGGGAATGGTCTCCAGCTTATGGCACACTTGGACCCTGCATGTAGCCATGTCATTGTTCAGCAGCCTGCCATGCTCTGCCAACTTTGGGACTTACGAGGGACTTGAATTAATGGCCTGTCGTGTGGTTTGGTAACATCAGGACTGTGCCTTTTTACTTGTCAACCTTGGGCTTGTCAGTCTCACCAGTCAGCAGCTGTCTGAGTGAAGAAAAGCCTCTAGCTTCTGCGGGCCTGGTGCAGGAGGCAGAGCTTTGAGGGGCTTTCACCCAGTCCCTAGAGTCTGGCACTTTGAACTCAGACTTAAAGCCTCCAAATTGTAAGAATAAACTCCTGTTTGACAAGGCCATCCTATTTGTGGTATAGTCCTGTCAGAGTGGCACTAGGTAACCAAAACACTTTCCAAACTAATATTCATGCCCCACTATTCCATGCCTGTGTTTCTGTTGTCTGTGTTGGGAATTTCCTTCACCTTTGTGTCTCCTTGGAGACTCTTAAATCTATTTTTCAAGTCTCTGATGGGTTTAAATGGTATCTCCTCTAGGAAGCCTATTCCTAGCTTATTTAGGTACAATCCTAGGCACACTCTTTTTTTCTTTGTTTTCCTAAAAAATATGATAATTAGTACTGACTGATTGTCTTATTTTATTTATCAACAGGTGTATTTTCCCTTTTAGAATGTGAATTCCTAGAGGGTAATATCTGAGGACTATTTATCTATAGGGAGCTCTGGTGGTAAAGTGCCTAAGGCATTTGGTCACTAACCAGAAGACTGGCTTGGAAGGAAGATGGGGCAATCTACTTCTGTAGAGATACCACCTTGGAAACCCAAGGAGGGGTCGCTGTGAGTCAGGATCAACTCAACAGCAGTGAGTATTTATCTATAGGAGCTCTAGTGGTGTAGTGCCTGTGATGGTTATGTTTGTGTCTCAGCTTGGCTGGGCCTGGTTGATTGGCTGGGCAGCTGGTGGTAGTAGTCCCCATGATGAGACTGGCAATCAACTCCATGGTGTGATCTACCACAAACAGTTGAGTAGCTGCTTTGGGTATGTGGTCTGCTTCCTGCATTAAAGAAGAGGCCTTGGGAATGGTCTCTAGCCTATGGCACCCTTGGACCCTGTATGTCGCTGTGTCGTTGCTTAGAAGCCTGCTATGCTCTGCCGACCTTGAGACTTACAATGGACTTAAGTCAAAATAGCCTGCTGTGTGGTAACATCGGGACTGTGCTTTTTTACTTGTCAACCTTGGGTTTTCTCAGCCTCAGCAGCCAGCAGCTGTCTGAGTGAAGAAAAGCCTCTAGCTTCAGTGGGCTGGGAGCCAGAGGCAGAGCTGGACCCCATGGTTAAGGGGCTTTCACCCAGCCCCTAGAGCCTGGCACTTTGAACTTGGACTTAAAGCCTCCAAATTGTAAGAATAAACTCCTGTTTGTTAAGGCCATCCCATTGGTGGTATGTTCCTGTCAGAGTGGCACTAGGTAACTAGAACAGTGCCTAAGGCATTTGACTGCTAATCAGAAGGCTGGCAGTTCAAATCCACCAGCTACTCCTTGGAAGGTTGGACAATCTATTTCCTTAGAGATACCACCTCAGAAACCCAAGGAGGGGTTGTTATGAGTCAGAAACGACTTGACCGCAGTGAGTTTGTTTTGTTTGTCTATTTATCTATAGTTCTGCTAGACATAGAACAGTGATTTACAAAGAATACGTCTGCAGTAAAAGTTTACTGAATTAGTGAATCAATGAGTAGACTTTGTATTCATACATTTCCCAGGAGTGGTTGAAAAGATCAGCTTCAAGCAGTAGGTAACTTAACATCAAACTGGCTTTAGAATGAGCTGGCAGTCATTTGCCCTGTCTCATACCATCTCTAAAGACTCTCAATACTACCCCAAAAGTAAATAAATAAAATTGATGGGGTAAATAAAAGTGCTTAATAAAAGTTACTTTTACTATTAACTAGAAAATTAACATTTCAGTGGGTTGAAAACATAATGAAATATTCAAATATATATTCATGACTACATAGACTTGGTGCTTTCCATACCTTTAACCACAGTAATGCGTGTGCCAAAAAAAGAAAAAAGAAAAATAGCTTTCACAGTTAAATTTCCTGGTGAGCTCATCCTTGAGTAGCTAGCAAGGGGAGAAGCAGGAAATCATTACATCACTGTTCCTTTAGTGCACTATCAATTGTAGTCTGGGAGTAGAAGGAACAGGGATTAACTGTAAATTAGGGCCAGCTAGAGAGGTATTAACTCTTTCAGCTCATGGCAGGCTGTTTAATTTCCTGAAGCAGTAAGTAACTTAAATGATGTCCTTCTGGCCTAAAAGACTTTACGTGACTCTAGATTTGCAAGTAGGCAGTTTGAGTTATCTGCTAAGTTAGGGAAATGTTTGCGTGTTTTGCCCAGCCTTATATCCCTTTCACCATAAAACCAGTTGCCATCAAATCAACTCCAACTCATGAAGACCCTATCTGTGTCAGAATAGAATTGTGCTCCACAGAGTATTCAATGGGTTATTTTTTGAAAGCAGATTGACAGATTCTCTTCCCTGGTTACTCAGGACTCAGCATCCCTCTACCCAGGGTCGCCTTGCTTTATAGGTACCTCTGGGTTGACTCAAACCTCCAACATTCTGGTTAGCAGCCAAACGTGACAACCATTTGAACCACCTAGAGACTCCTGTATAATATTAGCTGTGCCCTAATGTGGAAGTCTGTGGTAAGAAGCTACAGTTTCCCCAGGTCTGCTCACATCTTATAAGTACATAAAACATTCTTGAATTTAACAGTCTAATCCACCTCTTTCCCCACTCTGCAGTGTTATGGAGAACTATGTTCACTTTACTTTATCCTTCTACATTTTTTTCTAGGTTAAGAGATTTGTTTTTATCCAACATGACGTTAACTTTTGAAGAGACTCAACGACTCTAATGGAGCCATAAAAGGGCTACTTCACAGCACACAGTATAAATGATGACAGATTATTCCTTAGCAGGGATAGGATTTTAATGAACAAAATACATTTTAGAATTTATTCCTATGAATTCATATCCTCTTGTCATGTGACCTTGAGGTGGTGGAAATGAGCAAAGAGGATTCTGCTTAATGTGGCAAAGCAGAGAAGAGTAAAATGGTTATTTTGAATTCTGAATTTGCAGCATCTTACTTGGGGCTTTTAAGAGAGCACTGTGATGGGCTTTTAATAACCACTGATGGATTGTTTACACCAACATAGAAACCACAATGTGTTATACAGAAGGAGCTACTTACCGATAGTATATTTTTCATGGTGATCACAAAAACGTTGTAAGCAATCAGCCAGTCCCAATAGCGCAGGATGCTCTTGATAGGTTTCAGCAGCAAATCGCCCCCAAAAAGCAGGAAGTAAAAACAGGCCACCAAGTAACCCATACAAAATATGCTGATTCTGGTCGTTCCCGTAATGAAGATGATAGTGAGGACGAACCAGAAGAGGTAGCTGAAGATGATTACTTTGGACATGTCTAAGTAAGACCTGAAAACAAAACCAGTGAAAGGACAGTAACAATAAAAATAACACAAAGAAAATTAGGAGATTCCACTTTAATCAGGAAAAAAAGCCCATTCCACCTGTGACTACATATGAACACACTTTGCAAGTCATACTCCAAGCTCTGCATTCATTGCTCATTCAGTGTTGCTTGGTACATATAGAATCCTCAACTATTAAGTAATAAATGATGAGACAAAAATTAAAACACTGTGTGTTTATCATCACTTTGTTTTGGCCAAATTTCTCACAAACAGAAACATATGTTTACCACTTAAGCACTCAAAATTCCTCTTTGTCATTCTAAGTTGCTGTTAGCTGGCACTAAGCCAGTAGCCGACTCCAGCACAACGCGATTGGACCCTTGTGATCCACATGATTTTCATTTACTAATTTTCAGAACTAAATCACCAGGCCTGTCTTCCTAGTCTGTCTTGAAGCTCCACTAACACCTGTTCAGCATCAGAGCAACACACAAACCTCTCCACTGACAGATGGGTGATGGTTGCACTTGAGGTGCTTTGCTAGGAAGGAATCAAACGTGGCTCTCCTGCGTGGAAGACAAGATTCCAACACTGAACTACCACTGCCCCTATTTTTTTTTCCTACGGTAAATACGAATTAATAGTATGGCAAAAGAAATTTTGATTAGCAGGATATCTGTTAAGAATGGATTTCTTTCAATGAGGTAGAAATTAATAGATTAAAACAAATCCGTATAACATACAAAGGTTTTATTGGAGATGAAAATCTCTTTTTGCAAGTGGAAAGCAATCCTGACAAAGTATGGGTGGGTGGGGGGCCTCTAGGCTACTTCCAGCACTCTTGGTTTTGGATTTTTACCACCGAGGTTATGACTTTCCTGATGGTCAATGAGGAAGTATTTATGTCTCAGCAGTCCTGTGGCTGGATGTCTGGGAGTTTTCCCATAGCGAATCACTGACAACAGATCAAAGTTACTATATACACAGGTCCACATCCTCTCCATATTTTCTTAATTAGAGCTTCTGTATTTTTTGGTTTTGTTTGTTTTTCTCCCAAGGTTTGGGAAGAAGTATGGGAGAACAAATTTTGAGTTAGTTCTTTGATCCATGGGTAGTCATTTTGTGTTAACAGGTAACATTTTAGTAAAAGATACAATATACTAGCATACCAGTGTTGGATTACCCAATAAGCAACATAAAATCAAAAAAATCAAACTCACTGCTATCAAGTTGATTCCAATTCATAGTGACTCCCATTGGATTTCCAAGTCTGTAAATCTTTATGGAAGCAGACTGCCTTACCTTTCTTCTGCGGAGTGGCTGGTGGGTTTGGACTGCTGACCTTTTGATTAGCAGCCAAATGCCTTAAGCACTATACCACCAGAGTTCCTAAGCAAGGTAAGCAAGGGCTTAATTGTGCTTACTTACTAATCTGCAATGAACAATTTCACATTTGTTTTTCACCACATCAAAGATTCTGCTTCTAAGTATGTCTGGCATTTTTTTCTCTCACAACCCACAGTACCTTCCTAAAAAATCAAAGACTCTTCAAACTTATAATCCTTGACAGAGATGTGGTGAGAAATATGTGAAACTGTTCATTACACATTAGTAATAAGCATAGGTAAGTCCCTGCTTACCTTGCTTACTAGGTGGTAATCTGCCCCTGCAGCACAGTTAGGGAGTGAGTTGTGTCTTGTGTGTGGGTTAGGTGCTGTTAAGTTGGTTCCAACCCATAGCAACCTCACATACAATAGCATTAACACTGCCTGGTCCTGCACTGTCCTCACAATCATTGCTGTGCTTGAGCCCGTCATTGCAGTACTGTGTCAATCCATCTTGTTAAAGGTTTTCCTCTTTTGTGCTGACCCTCTACTTTACCAAGCATAATATTCTTTTCCAGGGACTGGTCCCTTCTGACATGACCAAAATGAAGAGACAAAGTGTGGTCATTCTTGCTTTTAAAGAGTATTACAGCTGCACTTCTTCCAAGGCAGATTTATTCATTCTTTTGGCAGTCCATGTTATTTTCAATATTCTTCTTGCCAACATCACTACATCAGTTCTTTGCAGTCTTCCTCATTCATTGTCTAGTTTTCACATGCATACGAGGCTACTAGAAATACCACAGCTTGGGTCAGGCACACCTTAGTCTTCAAAGTGACATCTTTGCTCTTTAACACTATAAAGAGGTCTTTTGCAGCAGATTTGCCCAGTGAAATCTATTGTTTGACTTTTTGATTGCTGCTTTCATGGACATTGATTGAGGATTCAAGTAAAATGAAATTCTTCACAACTTCAATCTTTTTTACATTTATTCTGATGTTGTTTATTGGTCCAGTTGTGAAGTATTTTGTTTTCTTTATATTGAGCAGTAATCTATATGGAAGGCTGTGGTCTTTGATCTTCATCAGTAAATGTGTCCGGTCCTCTTCACTTTCCGCAAACAAGGTTGTGTCATTTGCATATCTCAGGTTATTAGTGATTATTCCTTCAATCCTGATTCCACTTTCTTTCTCATATAGCTCAGCTTCTTGGATTGTTTGCTCAGCATACAGATTGAATAAATGTGGTAGAACAACACATCCTGACCCACACTGTTCCTGATTTTAAACCATGCAGTATCTCCTCGCTTAGTTTGAATGATTGCCTCTTGGTCTATGTACAGGTTCCTCATGAGCACAATTAAGTGTTCCGGAATTCCCATTCTTCACTATGTTATCCATAATTTGTTATGGTCCACATTGTCAAATGCCTTGCATATTTGTGCCTTAAAAGTACATTTTTCACTAACTTTTGAAGTTCTCTTTTTTTTGAACAGGAAAGTACTTAATCATCCTAAACACTTTTATGATTTTTTTTCTAAAATGTATTATTGTTCTTGCTTGATTTCATAAACATAGAATAGTGAATAAAATGTCAGTGTTTCTCAGTATCTAGGATCACCACTGGTAACTAAATGACAAATAGAGCTGCAATACAGAATGCCCACAGGGCCTTCTTCAATATGTGTGATTTGGATAAAGTAGAATCCTGGCTGCTAGCATTCTGGGTGAGTATGTATGAGAGTCTTTGTGTGTGTGTGTGAGTGTGAGAGTGAGTGTGAATGTGAATGAGTGTATGTGTGAGTGTGAGCATGTATCTATGAGTGGGCATGAGTGTGAATGTATGTGTGAATATGTCCAGAGTAGCTGAGTACACACTTCTCATTAGATTTCTTGCTTATTGTTGTTAAGGTAGAGCTTCCATGTTTACCTAGGATACTCTGCCCCAACCCATCTAGCATTTAACCTGAGTCACGTTCAGATAGTGTTCAAGTAAGCTTGTAAGAATAACATGAAAAACACTAACACACCATGCCCTGAAGAGAAGCTTGAGGGATTCTGTGGTAGTTAAGGTTGTTGTCAACTTGGCTGGGCCTGGCTGAGTGGCTGGGCAGCTGGATGTAGTTATTCCTCATGGTGAGACTGTCAGTCAATTCCACGGTGGAATCTACAGGCACAGATTAGTAGCTGCTATAGGGATGTGGTCTCCTTCCAGTATATAAGATGCAGCTTTGAGGAAGGCCTCCAGCTTTTTGGCACGCTTGAACCCTGCATGTAGCCAAGTCGTTGTTCAGCAGCCTGCCGTGGCCTGCCAATCCTGGGACTTCTCCTGGACTTGAATTAGTGGCTTACCATGTTGTTTGGTAACATTGGGACTGTGCCTTTTTATTTGTCGACATTGGGTTTGTCAGCCTCAGCAGCCAGCAGCTGTGTGCGTGAAGAAAAGCTTTTAGCTTCAGTGGGCCAGGAGCAGGAGGCAGAGCTGAAGCCCAAGGTTGAGGGGCTTTAACCTAGGCCCTAGAGACTGGTACTTTGAACTCAAACTTAAAGCCTCCAAACTGTAAGAGAATAAACTCTTGTTTGTTAAAGCCATCCCATTTGTGGTATATCTTCTGTTAGAGTGGCACTAGGTAACCAAAACAGACCCTGATGCATTTAGGGAGCCCTGATGGCCTGCGTTGGGGTTATCTAGAGGCCACTCAATGATGCTGTCTCTAGCTACTTGCCAGAGAGCCAGGCTCTGGAGAAGCCAACCCCTATGGGGGTGAGAAAGTGGGCATGGGTGTGCTTTAACTGGCAAGCCTGGCCACTACCTTCTAGTCCACTATCATGAGATTTTACTGATTACTCAGTCCTGGTTGAGAAATAGATCTAAAAATTTGAAATAATTTAACTTTTAAAATAAAAAAAGATACAGTTGTAAAAATCAGTGACACACAATGAGTCAATATTTAGGCTTTCATTAACACACTGTAGAGCAGCATCACAGAAAAGAGATAAATGTGGAAGCTCTACCCCATATTAGTGTTTAATAGGGTACTTTGTTCATAAAGAACAAAAATTCTTTGTAGCATATCATTTTAAAGCAAATTTACTCTTAATGTCTTTTATGCCATGGGAAGGCAGGAGGGTAAGTGTTTTAGTACCAATTTTGGAGATAGACTGATTGCATTCAAATCTTTATTCTGCTTTTGTGTATATCTCAGTGTTCTCAACTACAAGGTGATGGTAACGATATTACCTCCTTAAACTCTAAACTCACTGCCACTGAGTCATTTGGGTTTCCAAGGCTATAAATCTTTACAGAAGCAGGCTGCTCCATCTTCCTTCCATTGAGCAACATGACCTTTTGGTTAGCAGCCAAGTGCCTTAACCACTATACCACCAGGGTTCCTTATCTCTTTATAGGGTAGTTATTAGGGTAACATAGCTTCTTGCATGTCAAACGTTTGGGACAGAGCTGGCACCAATAGTGTTATATGCACTGTAGGCCAAACACTATTCATAAGGTAAGAATGGGACAAATATATGTTAAAAGTAGACCTTACCCTAAGACACTCCTACCTTAGAAAGGGAATAAGACAGATTCTTAAAGTATCAATCTGAGGTAGGATGTGATGAGTGCCATGTAGATAAGATATTCTGGGAGATCCAGAGCTGGAGAGCTCCGTTCAATGGGGAGTCAGTTCTGGCTTGCATCCTGATAATATCCACCATGGACTGAGCACTCATGTGCCATGACTGTACATGGGGTATCTCATTTGATCCCCACAATAGCACTATAGTATGTTGTTGTTGTTGTTATGTGCCGTAGAGTCAGATCTGATTCATAGGGACCCCTCCTTGGGTTTCCGAGGCACTATCACTACGGAAGTAGATTGCCCCATCTTCCTTCTGAGGAGTGGCTGGTGGGTTTGAACCTCCAGCCTTCTGGTTAGCAGTCAAGTGCCTTAGGCACTACACTACCAGAACACTATAGTATAGATAACTATAAGTGAGGGTCACAGAGATTGATTAGTTTGAAGTCACACAGCTAGTAAAGGTGGACAAAAATATCAAACCAGCTTTGTTAGACTCCTAAAGCTAGTGGCTGAGTTGATTATTCAAGGCACTGAAGGATGAATAAGGACATGCCCTCCAAGAAGTGGACATAGAAAAGAAATATATAGGAAGACATGTAGTCTGGCGTAAACACAAGCTCTGTGGAGGGGATGATCAGGCTACAAAGACTGGAAGGGGCAGGGCAGATAGAAAGGCACCATCAATGGAGCCTGGGAATATCCATGAAAGCATGGCACTGAGGGCCCTAGCTGAAGGTGTGGCTGAGGGCACCAACCTCCTGCTCAGAACCCCTGAGTGCTCAGGTTGGGGAGCCTCTACTAGGGAAAAATGGAGGAACTGGTGCCACTGGCATAAGTTACTTTTCTGTACCAAGAAGAGGAAAACTAAGGCAAGAAAAGGCTGGTGAATACTGACAAAAGCAGAACCTGGCCTATAACTTCACAGCTTAGCTTATAGGCTATGGACTCATATTCTCCCATACCTATCACTTTAGTGTGTACACTTCAGCTGACCTATTTCCCAAGTGTTATGGATTGAATTGTGTTACCCAAAAAGAAATGTGGATGTCCTAAGCCCTGTACCAATAAATATGACCTTGTTAAGAAACAGGATTTCTTTTGTCATGTTAATGATGTTATACCAGAGTAAGGTGGGTCCTAAACCTAATCACTTCCGAGTGATGTCTTACAAAAAAAGCAGGAAAGACACAGACATCACATAGAGAAAGATACCACAGATACAACTACAAGCACTAAAGGAATGCCAAGGATTTCTGGCAGTCACAAACACTAAGAAAGGCCACAGAAGGAATGAATCAACATGGCTGAGACCCTGATTTTTATTTTCAGCCTCCAGAACTATGAGAAAATAAACATCTGTTCTTAAAAGCCCTCACTTGTGGTATTTTTTGTTCTGGCAGTACTATAAAACTAGGGCATCAAGTATAGCAGAGAGGGAATTGTACATGGAGGTGTAATCTAAGTGAAATGCACGTAGCCAAATTGCTCCTGAGAAATGTAAAGCTATTGATTACCTGCAGTGAATGAAGTCTGGTACTGGGTTATGTTGGCTAAATGAGGCTGCATCGAGGTTCATGCAAATCTCCACATTGTCGCCTGCCATGATGCGTACCGCAGCCTTATTTTCATCTTCAAAAATCTGCCGTTGTAGGGAGGCACACAGAAGCAGCATGAAGTCATCTGGCAAATCAAAGATAAGATAATTAATTACAACCCATTCTTCTAAAAAGGGGTTTACCTAATGTAAGAGTCATCACACTATATGAGCTTCTCCCCAACTCCTAAGTGAGCTGCTCCACTAAATTTCTTTGTAAAGCTCACCCTGGGTTCTGATTTAATGGCCAATCGCTTCTTCTGTAGGTGGGCGCAGAAAAAGAGCTCTCACTGGGTGAACCTCTGGATTTTGGTTTGCACATTGATGAGTGAAAGTATTAGGTACCATTACTAGTCTTTATGACTTATATAATAATATTTATTTACATTTTTGTGGTATCAAAGTTTTGAGGAGGCCATTTGAGCATTTTTTTCCCATCTATTTATTTATTTTTTTACGTAGAGTAGATGCAGACTCTTCTGTTTTTTTCCTTCTTTCCATCCCTCTCTGCATTTGTAATTGAGACTGCTCCTAGAACCATAGACCTCACTGAAGGCTTATGGGACTGGGAAAGGATTGGGCCTGGTTGTGAGGGTAGAGGAGAGAAGTCCCACAGAACAGTCCTGAGGGCTAACTGCTCAGAACACAGTGCCAGAATATATTAGTTTGGTTCCGGAAATACCAAGCCTTAAATTTCATCACCACAGTATCAATGTTTTGTGGCTTTTCAATTAAAAATCTGAAGGCACTGGGGAAAGACCCTCACTCCTCAGTTTTCCATAGTATCTAACACTCTGTCATCTCAGGTGGGGCTGAACCAAGCTTTCAGTTTGCCAGCCTTGCTCTTGAAAGGGTTAGCAGTTGCAGCCCAGCTCCAGGGGTTCTGAAATTTGGGTAGCATCTTCCCAGGTACCACAGTCATGCCTCTAGGCTTGGTCTGTCCATAACAGCAGCCAGAAACAACTGGCTAACAAAACTTAAGACACCCCCATCCAGTTTATCTTCTAAAGGGTGTATGTATTTGTGGAGATAATATTATGAAAGGGAAAATAAGGTATTCACAATGTTTATTTATTAATTTATCAAATGCAATGTGGTAAGTAGAAGCCATTAACAACTACTGGTATTAATGCATAAAGACAAGTCTTTACATGAGTACAAAGTTCCAATGGAGGAAGCTAAGGACTAATGCCTAACATGTGAAGAATAATTAGCAAATACAAAACCAAAGACCAAATACTTCATGGTCCTGTGGCTGAAACACTTACAGACGAGAAACACAGGGTTGGGCCGCACAATGAAGTCAGGGAAGTAGAGCCACTTGATGATGTTGTTATTGAAGCTGGCACCCTTGAATCGCCATGGGTAATCTGCAGGGAGGGAAATAAGGACAATGAATCAATGCTGTTTTTCTTTTCTTTTTTTCCCACTGTCCATTTTGTAATGGCTTATTATGGAAGCACACAGATCCTGGGGAAGGCAAGGTCACCTCTGCAGGGAGCAGGTGGGATGCCGATACAGATGAAGTACTGGAATGTGATGATGCATGCCAGAAAGCAACAGTACTTGGGCCAGATCTCGGCAATGGCTTTTCTTCTGCGTCGATACAAGACAGCGATCAGCCAGCAGGCATGGACCATGGCGTAGAAATCCATTCGCTGACCGATTACATTAACTGACATTAGGAAACAAGTCTGTGTAAGGATGAAAAGAGGCAAAAGATTGGATTTATAGGGAAGGGGAGTGGTGCCAATGTCAGTCCCTGTGTAGGTGGCAGAAGCCCTGCCTTTTGAGGGTATTGCTATTGTTGTTATGGGCCATCAAGTTGGACCTGACTCACAGCGACCCCTCCTTGGGTTTCTGAGGCAGTATCACTACGGAAGTAGGTTGCCCCATCTTCCTTCTGAGGAGTGGCTGGTTTGAGCCACCAGCCTCTGGTTAGCAGTCAAGTGCCTTAGGCACTATGCTACCAGAGCTCCCTTCTGAGAGTAGGTCTATACATTTTCCCAATTCCTTGCCTCTTTTTGATGTCTTGTAATTTGAAGACAGAAACTTCGGCTGTACAACCTACTTTCAAAGGAAAAATTCATCATATAACTGTTAATAATAACCTTTAAAGAGTGGAGAACACTATACCTATTATCTCTTGATAGAATGTAACTATTCCAAATTCATTCTATTAAGGAACAGGCATTACCTCAACCATTTTATGTTAAAACAGTTCCTTTTGTATAGAAATAGCACTTTCAGAATTTATAAAACTGAAAGAATATTAATAACATATTATTCTTAATGAGAAACTACTCAACATGATAACCTTTGTTCATGAATTTCTATGGTAATACAGACCTAGAGAAGCCAAGTTTACGGGGGTATTGGGACTTGGTCTTGGAAAATATGGCCAGGTTAACCCAACAGTAGAAATGGCTTCTGTCCATCCTGAAGTAACAGTCAAAATGGCCTAAGAATGTGGAATGAGCTATAGAGGCCAATTGACCAAAAGTAGTTATTTGAATTTTCACAGAAAAGAATAAATACAACACACTAGCAAGGAAACTCACCTCTAAGCCAAATTTGTAGAAGAAGTAATTTATGAAATATTTGGCACAATTAATAAGTCCATCATCTAAGTGTAGTCTTGTAATGTCATGAAAGATGGTTTTAGACACTGGGGCTGTAAGGTTGTTTCTACTTCTGTAGTATTCTTGATGTCGGTAAATTGTAACTTCAAAGGCCAGAATGGCGAGCATCAGGAGATTATTCTACAAACAAAGCAAACACAGTTGTGTAAACCCTAATGTTTTGTGGTTTGGTAATTTTAAGCAACCCCTCTAATAAAACATCTTATTTCATTATTGATGACTAAAAGGATAATGTTTTAGAAAATTTCATCCCTATAAAATACAGTACTAAGCTCAGTGTTCATTTTCCCTGTTATTATAACAAGAATAATCTTCATTATGCAAATAAGATTAATTTCCATGATAATAGGATCTATGATTTCAAGACAAGAGACTGCTGGTGTACATTTCCATTCCTGAAGAAGTACACACTACACATCCAGTTACCTTATGAGGGTGGTTCAACCTTGCTTGCAAAGAGAAGTATAAATTAGTATGGGGAATAAGACTAGCTGGAGGAGTGGGATATTAGCTAGAGAGGAAATTTCTGAATACCTCCAAAATCTGCCTAGAAAGAGCAACAAATTGAGAAGGATGAAGATGACAGTGATGATAATAATAAAATAACAACAACAACAATAGCAATAATAGTAATAAACTATTTAACATTTATTGAACTTTTACTATGTTCAAGATAATCTAATCACCTTTTTCAAATATCAATTTATTTTATTCTTAGAACATCCCTTTATGGAAGGTATTATTACAAATGGCATATGAGGAAAAATTAGAAAGTTATACAGTCAAAGAAAATGGGATATTTAGTCCACTTGACTCCAGGTGCTAAGTGTAAAGACTTTGTCTTTAAGTGTATTGTCAACGTAATATTTAGACTACTTAGAGGATTCATCAAAGTAAAATGTGAAAAAAATCTGAAGAATATTGCTTTCATTATGCTTGATATAATTATTTGCAATCAACGTTTATTTTTCAGATATGTTCATTTATTTTATTGCTTCTAAACTAATACACATTCTTTATTAATAATGATATAGATAACTGAATTGAGAAAGCAAAAATTTCTTCTAATGCTAAATCCACTTCTTAGAAGTAATCACTGCTGACAATTTGGTATTTTTTACTCATTATTTTTCTCTGTGCCTAGCAAAGATTATATTATGTGGTGTTTCGAGTTTTTTTTTTTTAATTTGATAATCTACTTTGGACTACATTCAATGTCTGACAACTCAATCTGCCTCAATCTTTTAATGGTTATATAATGTTCCAGTGAATGTACTTGTCATACTTTAACTAATCTCCAACTACCTGATCAATTTCTTTCATCACAATGCAATATTGATTTTAATATTTAGTCATTTGTTCTGAACATAATTCTAAATGTTACATAAGAAAATAAGGTTACATATCGATGAGATATTTGGAATCACAAGGGAAAGGATTCCAAACTACAGCTGTACCAAGACCCAATCTAAACACAATGAAGCAGTTACCCTCAGGTAGACAAGCAATGGGGAAGACTTCCTCAGGCCAACCCACTCTGTGGGGTCGATGGGACTGCTGTAGAGTATCGATGAGTTCAACTGGTCGAGCTCTATGTTTGTCTGATTTTCATTTGGCTAAAAAGAAAAAACAAAAAATGGAGTAAAATGGCTACACAGATTAAATACAGTCCAGAATGTTCTCCCTTAGCTTTGAGCAAAGGGACACCAAAGGCTAAGGAGGGAAAGATTTATTTCAAAGGGGGAATCTTGACATGAAAGAGATTTGGGACCAGCACACAGGGCCAAGACATTATCTAGCCTGAGTGAGGTTACTAAAAAGATGAACAGAACATGCTTGGGGATGCAGCCTCCTCAAATATCTGCCTTACTTCCCTAAGGGTAGTTGGGAAGATTCCCATATCTTTGACACTCACCAAGGAACAGTTAACAGAAAAGTTCTCAGGCTTAATGGTTTGGAGCTGGTACAACATTTTGCAGACAATGATCACACATGTCCAGACAGTGCAGACACTTGAAGCCAGACGGCGCAGCTTGGCATATGGCAGAGCAAAAGCCCAAGAGATCAAAAATACATAGTTGAACAGAGACACCTGAAAACATAAAATTAGAAATGGGGACAAAATACATAGTATGGAATAACATGCAGAAAACATGGTGACTTGACGTATTCAGTTCAGCTCAGTTCAACAAAGGCTGGATTGAGCTCCTAAGATGTGTACAAGCTTGTTGTAGGTGGTGGGAGTTAAGGTACATGGATCATGATCTATTTGCTGGAGAACCTATTGTCTTGTATGGTAGACAACTATATAACCAGATAATAAAAATATAATGTAGCAATGACCAAGCTGTAGATTTGAACAGGTTCTTATGAGTACCCTCCGAAGGTATCCTTGGCCCAAACAAGTGCCTCAGGAAACATTTCCTGGAAGAGATGATGCCTGAATGGTGCCAGACCAAGAAAGGTGATTTTCAAAACTGTATCAAAACTATACTATGTCACAGCAATCCCTTCTGCAGGACTATGTTATGTCACAGCGGTCCCTTTTGAAGAAACTTGCTATATCACAGGGATTCCTTCTGAAGAAAATAGAGAGCTGCTGAAGCAGCTTACACTGGGAAATTGTAAGGTAATATTTATATTTTATTTAGATAAATATAATTGAAAAATGAGGATCCATTAATGGGGTTAGACAAGGGAAACTAAGGAGACCAAGTTACAAGCTGCTGCAATAGACCAGGAGAGCAGTGATGAGGCCTGATTAGGGAAGTGGAAGGAGAGATGGAGAGGAGCAAGGGTTGGTTGACTGAAGGGTACTGGGTGGGGGTATGTGAGAAAGTATAAGGAGTAGCCTACAGGTTTCCTGCTTGAGAGCCTGAGTAGATGATAGTGCTAGAAAGTGAGTGAAGAAATACAAAGGGTGGGGGGAGCAGGTTTAAGGAAGGAATGAGTTAAATTTCAGTAATTGTTGGCTGAGTGAAATGCAATTACCATATTGAAAGACTGTATCTGGTATCAAAAAATCCAGGAATAAAAAAGGTGAGCTGTATTAAAGATTCTATTAAATTTTGGAACCTAAGTTTATTCCTTGACATAAACTGGAATGTTACTGTTTTCCTCAAAGAGAATTCAAGGAGACAGAGTTGGTTATAGAGTGCAGAAAAGCAGCTGCTGTCATAGGCTCTGACTGAGGACTAGATGAAAATACAAAACAAACAAACAAAAAAAAACTCACTGCCATGGAGTCGGAGGTATTGATACAGAAGTAGATTGCCCAACCTTCCTTCCAAGGAGTGGCTGGTGGGTTTGAACCGCCAGCCTTCTGGTTTGCAGTCAAACGCCATAGGCACTACACTACCAGAGTTCCTAGATGAAAATAGGCAACCTTTCTAATATGACCAAACCAATCAGAAACTAAGCCACGAGCCTCTTTTGCCCTTGCTATCTTCCTCTGCTTTTCACAGAGCAATTGTCCTTGGTTTTCTGCATGTGGATGTGTCTTTGCCTGTCTCAGAGCCCCTTTGAGAATACTGGGCATTTCATTAAAAAAATCATTGGGTTGGAAAAGTAAAATAATAGCCTGCTGTGGTTCTATCCAGTCTGATGATAAGACAAATGTGCACTTGCCTCTTTCACAGTAACCCAGATAATGTAGGATGAGACAATTTTGATGATGTGCAGCTCCAAAATCCACCACATGAACACCTGCAGCTTGTGAAAGTACTCCAGGAACTTCAAGAAAAGCACAGTGAGGCGGTCAATCACCAGGTGCCATTTGTTCCTTAGATCTGCAAAATAGGAAACCCAGACTGAGCATAAAAAAGTGTTTTTCTTCTTTTTTTCTTATTATTTAAAGTATATATTGACACTTTCAGATTGGAACTAACCCTAACCAAACTAAACCCATTGCTGTTGAGTTGATTCTGACTCATAACCATCCTAAGCTGCAAAATAATAGTAGTGAATGAATTCTTTGAATACTAAGAATCATATTGTTTTACCAAACTCTGAAGTAAGGGTTAGAATGGTTAATTGGATGTCAACTTGGCTAGCCTATGGTGTCCAGCTGTTTGGCCAAATACTAGTCTAAATGCTGTTATGAAGTGGTTACAGGTGATTAAATCAGTTGGCCTTAAGTAACGTAGATTATCCTCCATTACGTGGTTGGGCCTCATCCAATTGGTTGAAGGCCTTAAGAACAATAATGTGTTTCCCTAGGGTATGTTCTGCTTCCAGACTATAAACAGACATCTTGCTAGAACTTCCCATTACCTGACCTATAGCTTTTGGGAAACAAGATTGCAGAAGTCTCCAGCCTGTTGCCTGACCTACATATTTTAGACTTGCCAATGACAATAGCATGAATTAATTCCTTAAAATACATTTCTCTCTGTCTCTGTCTCTCTCTTTCCATGTACACACACATATATACATACACACAGAGCAAGAGAGAGAGAGAGGAAAAAAAAAACAAACCCTAAAACAGTTAATCTAAAAATTCTATTATAATGTTTATTGTACATAGTAACCTGGAAGTCTGAGGGACAATGTTACTTTTATCTACTTTTTATTCAATTAGTATAACTAAGCATTTGGCTTATTTATTTGTAAGGTTGAGCTATATTTTGCTTATTTCCCAGAAATGTTACTAAGATGTTGTTGTTGTTGTTGTTATTTGCCATCGAGTCAGCCCGACTCATATCGACCCCTCCTTGGGTTTCCGAGGCAGTATCACTACGGAAGTAGGAGAGTCCTCTAAATGGCATTTTTCTTACCAAAACAGAGCTTTTGTAAATGGTGAGTCTCCTTTATCAGAGTTTAACTGGTAAGTGGGTAGAGTTCTGGTCTTTCCAGAGAGTGAGTCAGAGCACCCCCAGCAGATATGACTTCACACTCCTCTGACGATCCAGTCTCACAAAGTGTGAGAAGCAGCATTCCAATTACACTTTTTAACCACATCAGTCACTTTATTCTTTCTACAGTGTGCCAGGGAGCAATACTGTAGAGACTGGGTCAGGCTTCAGTTGAGGAGGACTGCACTGTTTAATTTGAGTGAAAGTCACAACAGTACTGCTTTGTGGAACCAGTGTGTCACCATATTTGTATTCAAAAGCCCACAGATACATGGGGGTTACAAGACCTAAGTGTCCTCTTGAGTAGCTTTATATAATTTGCAAAGTTATAACAGTTACTGTCCTTGGTTCTAAAAGTTTAAGAAAGGTGTCTATTATCCAGAAAATCCTTATTTACTAAGTAATTCAGATGATAGCCAATACAAATATCTAGGTAATAAATGAGTACAATATAAAGGGGAAAGAGTGGACAAGTTTAGAGGACAGGTGCAGATGAGGGATTGGGATAACAAGGTGTAACTCAACTTCTGGTGAGATCCTGTGAGTAAAGCTCAAGTCCTGTGTGAAAGCAGTATAATAAAATTCTAGTCTTCCTCACTTGTCTCACACATGTTCACCAGGTAAGGAAAGGGCATTTCTGGGCCTCTCCAGGGTCTTCTGAGGTGAATAGAAGAAGGGGACCACGTTCCCAGCAGAGCTTGCCTTTGAGACACATCTTCCTCCTCACACTACTTCTTTATTTTCTACTTTTATAAAGTAAAGAGGATCAGCAAAGACAGCACTTGGCCAGTTATCACCTCCAAAGGCCATGCTCTCTGGTTTCTCATATTTTCTGGGAATTAAAGAATATACTAATTCTCTAAGTTCTCTATCTTTCAATACTACCTGTCAGATAAACAATTTCTGATCAGTGAGGATATCCCATTCTTATCATGCCATGTTAATATACCATTTCATGTCTAGGAAGAAAATTAGGAAAGAAATGCCCAAAGAATCAAAAATGAGTGCCCTTAAATGAGAACTATAACAAAACACCTCTCGAAGTTTGCTTGAAGTGGTAACTGTCCAACTGTATTAGTTTTTCCTCCAGCTCCCATGTCCTTAAGCACTAGAACAGAACTAGAAATATGCACTAAATGACTAGTTTTCTGAAATAGCCTCAGAATAATTTCTTAGAGAATATGTTTGGTGAGGCCATGTCTAGAACTTCCAGGAACTCCACATGGCTTCCTGCTTCTGCTTCTGGTGGGAGCTCCCTCTCTGAAATCCCCAGTCAGAAAGTGGTAAATGTCAAACCCAGTCAATCTGTGGCAAGATCCCTCTGTCAGATTAACAATCAATAACCAGCCATTTGTTCTCTTTTAAAAGGAAATGATTGGAGCAAATGGAACAAGACTGCTACCACTACAGTAACTATGAAAAAAAAAAAAACAAACAAGAAAATATGGTTGTTTAACTGATTGGTCATATGTATATCCTTCTGGACCCAGTTCATGTCTCATTCACTCTGTCTGGCACCTAGCATTTCCTGAGCACACTGGCAGGGGGCCATTTACCTGATGTTTCTTCCTCCTCCTCCGAGTCCTCCTCTTCATCGTCATCTTCCTCAGACTCCTCACTATCTTTCCCAGGTTTGTCCTGCTCCATGTTCTCAGAGCTGTCCTCTGGTGTCTCCTCTCCAGAATCCTCTGCCCTCTTCCCTTCCTGCTTCTCCAGGCTGGCAGTCAGGTTCATCATGGCTAGGTCAGGAAGGCTGCCTTCAGGATGAGCCAGTCTGTGGGCAGAGAACTGCTGAGTCAGAAGAGAAGTGGGTGTCAGGGGACTCAAGTGAGGGACACATAAAAGGAGGGTACACAAAACTGAAAATCAGTGCAGGTACAAAGGCCTTTCAATGTGGGATGTGAGCATCTTGTTACTTTTTTTCAAAGCACTTTCTAAAACCAAACTGTAAACCCAGCTTTTGTTAGCTTTTCTAATTTGGGTTCTATTGGTTAACCAGTAATGATAGCTATCAACACCTAAACTTGACATTTTTCCCAGGGGAGAAAATGGTCAGAGTTTAGGTTGTAGAAGCATGAAATGGCATCATGTAGAGCAAGCATTTCATGACTTCAAAGGGGGACTTACTCATTTTGGTGGATTGGTAATTTTTTCTTGATGCTGCTCAAAGTAATTGAAATAGAAAGGAAAAAAAGGAGATGAGAACAGAAGAATTATAAGGAATGTCAGAGATCACATATCATGCTACATAACATCCACTATTGCATTCCTGTTCACCAGCTGCAGTCACGGCCTAGTGCCAGGTGCATTCCAGAATGGTGCTGAGAGCGTGCTTTGGCTAAGGACCCTATGCTTGGCAACTGATTTGAGAGTGAATAAGATTGCAGGATCAGAAAGGGAAGACCATATAGACTCCTGAGGTAAATTACATCATGCTTTTTCAGTAATGCAACAAACCATCCCACAAGAATTGAATCAATTGCATTTTATATAAGTTGTTTTGATTCTTACATAATGTGTGCTTTCAGTCAACCTTTGCATGGACCCATCCTACTTGAGCATTTAAAGATTTATGCAATGGAAGCTAAAAGCTTTCAGGAATAAGATGTCTGTAGCATGTTCCCTTCTGAGGTATACTGTAAATTCTGCATGAGTGTATCTGTTTGCACTGACTAGTGAGAGAGCCAGGCCACAGGGAGAGACAGGAGATGGAGTCTTCAACCAGCAGGGACAACAACCTGCAACATTATAGCTTATTTTACAAGAGCAGTATCAAGCATGTATCTTCTTTTGCATTTTTTAAAAATGTTTTATTTGGATTCAAATGAGTGTTTTAAATAACATCTATGGACAATAAACTGCATACAGGAGAGAAATACTGATAATCTACTCCATTTGTAATCAATTGGTACATTTCAGCCTGACAGTGACAGGATGTTGATTAATACATTTTTATTTCTCTACCTGCATAATTGTGGGCTCAAAGTAAATTATTCACCCTTTCTAGAATTTCATTTACTTCCCAGGAAATGGGATTAGTGGGACCAGATAAAATCTAAGGTTATTTTTAACTTGTTGATTTTTTGTAAACACACCTATTGTTTTGGATAACTATTGTAATGATTCTACACTGTCCTTAGACTTTTAGAGAGGTTATCACTCAAAAGAAATTCTCCTCAACAGGGTGTCAAACAGTTGATTTATGTTGTTATATAGACCCAACTCATAGAGAACCCTCCTTGGATTTCCAAGGCAGTATCACTATGGAAGTAGATTGCCCCATCTTCCTTCCGAGGAGTGGCTGTTGATTTCAGAAACAAATGATCCATTTAACGAAGAAAAAACATTCTGAGGATGTTTCAATGTTGGTAGATGAAATGATATTGATATACCATTTTCCTATTTCCTTAAGTTAATCAATTCACTCTCTTCATTTCTGGAAAGTTAAACACTATTGAAATTGCAACACCTTATCATATAAGCCAGAGCTAGACATCAAATGTTAGGTCACATATTCGTTGTTTCTACTTTGTCAGGACTCCAATATGAAATGGTATTAAATGTAAAACCAGTCAAGTGCTACTGGTCCATGTGTTCTCTTCAGCCTTGCCAAAAACCAAAACTCACTGCTGTTGAGTTAATTTTGACTCATAGTGACCCTTCCCTCCTTGGGTTTCTGAGGCAGTATTTCTATGGAAGTAGATTGCCCCATCTTCCTTCCGAGGAGTGGCTGGTGGGTTTGAACTGCCAGCCTTCTGGTTAGCAGTCAAATGCCATAGGCACTATGTTGCATTTTACAAGTGTGAAGATACTTCCCATGATGCAAGCAGCTCAGTAGTTTTTAGTGAGGAAGTGTGGTCATTTCAGAGTGCAGTTTCAATGTCTGCATTAATATTGTTGTGACTTCTTAATAGTGAAAAAATTTTCTAATTATAACTAGTCTTTATAGAATGACACAGAGACGAGGCTCTGGCTGTAGCTACTACTTATGAGACAGAGCAAAGGGTCCCCAATTGTTGGGCACAGGCAGGCATAGTGAGGACAGATCATTGAAGGGATCAAAGAATAACATTGGGGTAAGCTTTTTGAAAGTCAGTCTTCTGGAAATCTCTAACAGTCTACAAGATATCGATGTGAGTTTGGGGATAGGAGAGAAGCAGAACTTCTCATCTAATGTTGCCTTTTCCCTTTGACCTAAAGACCTGATAGCCTCTGAGGATGTCTCATCTCCTGAGCTGGTAATGAATGGCAAAGAAGGAAGAAGGAAAAATACACATCGGGCTCTCAGTTATTACACAAGAAGTTTGTTTATTATCTGAGAAAATTCTGCATTAAGCATTCATGAAAGCCTACATGCATAAAACTTCTATGTTGTTGTTGTTGTTGTTAAGTGCCGTCGAGTCGTTTCCGACTCATAGCGACCCCATGCACAGCAGAACGAAACACTGCCCGATCCCGCGCCAGCCCCACAATCCATGCTATACTCGAGCCCATCATCGCAGCCACTGTATCAATCCATCTCCCTGAAGGCCTCCCCCTCTTTCGTCGACCCTCCACCTTACCAAGCATGACATCCTTCTCCAGGGAATGGTCCCTTCTTACAACATGACCAAAATAGGTGAGACGAAGTCTGGCCATTCTTGCTTCCAAGGAGCATTCTGGCTGCACTTCCTCCAGGACAGATCTGTTAGTTCTTTTAGCAGTCCACGGTACTTTCAGCATTTTCTTCGCCAGCACCACAACTCAAAAGCATCAACTCTTCTTCGGTCTTCCCTATTCATTGTCCAGCTCTCACATGCATACCAGGCGATTGGAAATATCATGGCTTGTGTCAGGCGCACTTTAGTCCTCAAGGAGATATCCTTGCTCCTCAGCACTTGAAACAGTTCCTTTGCAGTTGACTTCCCCAATGCTACACGTCGTCTAATGTCCTGACTGCTGCTTCCGTTGGCATCGATTGTAGAACCAAGCAACGTGAATTCCTTGACAACCTCAATCTTCTCTCCATTTATTGTGATGCTGCTCATTGGTCCAGTTGTGAGGATTTTTGTTTTCTTTATGTTGAGATGTAATCCATTCTGCAGACTGTATTCTTCAACCTTCATCAGTAGGTGCCTTAAGTCATCCTCACTTTCAGCAAGCAAAGTTGTATCGTCTGCATATCTCAGGTTGTTAATGATTCTTCCTCCAATCCTGATACCACGTTTTTCTTCATATAGTCCAGCTTCTCGGATTATTTGCTCAGCATATAGATTGAATAAGTGTGGAGAAAGAATACAACCCTGATGCACTCCCTTCTTGATTTTAAACCATGTAGTGTCCCCTTGTTCTGTTCGAACGACAGCCTCCTGGTCGAGGTACAGATTCCTCATGAGTAAAATCAAGTGCTCAGGGATTCCCATTCTTCTCAATGTTATCCATAATTTGTCATGATCCACACAATCAAATGCCTTTGCATAGTCAATAAAACACAAGTAAACATCTTTCTGGTATTCTTTGCCTTGAGCCAAGATCCATCTGACAACAGCTATGATATCCCTTGTTCCACGTCCTCTTCTGAATCCGGCTTGAACCTCTAGAAGTTCTCTATCAATATACTGCTGCAAACGTTTCTGAATTATCTTCAGTAATATCTTACTTGCATGTGATATTAATGATATTGTTCTATAATTTCTACATTCTGTGGGATCACCTTTCTTTGGAATGGGCACAAATATGGATCTCTTCCAGTCAGTTGGCCAGGTAGCTGTCCTCCAAATCTCTTGGCATAACTGAGTGAGTGCCTCCAATGGGGCATCTGTTTGATGAAATATCTCAATCGGTATGCCATCAATTCCCAGAGCCTTGTTCTTCGCCAGTTCTTTCATTGCAGCTTTGACTTCTTCCTTCATTACCATTGGTTCTAGATCATATGCCACTTCTTGAAATGGATGAAGATCGATCAGTTCTTTTTGGTACAGTGACTCTGTGTATTCCTGCCATCTTCTCTTGATGTTTCCTGCATCATTCAATATTTTGCCCATAGAATCTCTCAATATTGCAACTCGAGGCTTCAATTTTTTCTTCAGTTCTTTCAGTTTGAGAAATGCTGAGCATGTTCTTCCTTTTTGGTTTTCAGACTCCAGGTCTTTGCACATTTCATTATAGTAATTGGCTTTGTCTACTCGAGCTGCTCTTTGAAATCTTCTGTAGGCCACAATATTTTAATGCATGATTGGAGCTTACTATTTTAATGAAAATTGTGTGACTCCTTTTGCTTTTTTCATTTTTTGAGGCAATATAGAGTAGTGTTAAGAGGATGGGCTTTTGAGTCAGAAAGATTCAATGAGCAGGGACAACAACCATCTAGAAAATATACTGACTATGTGATGGGGAAAAATTACTTAACTGGTCTTTTAATTCTCAGTTTGCTGATAAGTACGCTTTTCTGAACATTTAGATGATTTCTGCTAAATGCTTAACATTTAGGAACTCTACTAGCAGAGTGCCTAAGGCATTTATTTGACTGCTAACCAGAAGATTGGCAATTCAAATCCACAAGCTGTTCTGGAGAAGGAAGATGAGGCAATCTACTTCAGTAATGATTTACAGCCTTGGAAACCCAGTGAGAGTCGGTATGAGTCGGAATCAACTTGAATGGCAGTGAGTGTTTTTCCTTTTTTACCTTGAGTATGCAGGAATATTAAAGTAAGTAAGTAACCATCTTCTAATGATAGAAGTTTTATGCCAGGTGTTGATAACCTGTATGATAAATATATGCTAATGAAAAGGCAC